TAAACATTATTTAATTTTACTGTTGAAAATCAGCATAGTTACTTAGACGAACGATTAGTTTTTCTTCACAAATAATTTTTCTTGTAAGATCTATATAATGAATGTTATTGAATACTTTGAAACATGTTGAGAAAATTCATTCTTATATAGTATTTTTATGATTTTGTCGAATTGTTTATTAGTTTCGATATATATTTATCTGAACTTAACGAATATAAAGTAATCATGTATTACTTGATCATAGATATATTTCACAAAATTCAAGAACTATATGAAAAATGAATAATATCTATGGATTAATGGTTGATATTAATTTCTTCAGTGAATTCATAAAGAGAAATTTACAAAATTTTTTTTCTGTTTCAGGATTCACTAACTAATTTAAAATGTTTCTCATTAATATGTTATAAAATTACTCGAGTATATGACAATTTAATTCTACCACTTCTTCGTCGAATGTCAAATCTTGAAGAATTAAGTTTATATATTCATATATTGGGTGGATCAACATTCATCTCTGGTACTCATCTTAATAAGAAAATTCTTAGTCATATGTTACGACTTCATACATTCTCATTTTATTTCGCTTCTGAAAATGTTGTTACTGATTCAGCTATTCGTATATCTAATTCAGATATTAAACAAACTTTTACGAATATAAAACATCGACAGATTGCTTCTTTAATAGACTATGATGGTTGTGGGAACGTGATTTGTCGTGTCTTTTCACTTCCATTTAAATTTGATCGTCTGACAAATATCACAAATAATATTCCAAATATTGTATTCAATTCTGTTACTCATTTGAGATTACGCGATAAATATCCATTCAAACACGAATTTTTTGTTCGACTTGCTCGTGGTTTTCCATTTCTTAAAAGTCTATCTATTGATACTATTCTAGCACCAAACTGGAGAGCTAACGAACATCATCTTCAACATATTGATTGGTGCTCAATTATTGAATATCCTCACCTTATTTCACTTGACATCTGTTCTGCAAATATTTATTATGCTGAACATTTTCTCAATGAAACAAAAACATATCTACCTTGTTTAACTGAATTAAAAATTCGCTATGAAGATTTGGAAATGGTGACAAAAAATTTTACAAGCAATGAAACACGACGTAATTGTACTAAAGTGAACCAATTAATTTTTAAAAATTTCATAGTTTATCCGAAAGATGTTTATCATTATTTTCCTTTATTGTGACTTTAATGTTGTTCTGTAGTTATCTGAATAAAAAATCTGTGATGTAAATTAGATTTTCTTTTCTTAAAACATCAATTATCAAGCAAAAAATATTTGTTATTTATGAAGACAAAATCTGCTTCTGGAAGCTGTCGTCAACACGATTATTCATTTTTTTTTTGTGTACATAAAAAATGAGTACATTATAGAATCGGTGAATGTGTGCATCTGACCGTATATACGATAAGTCTTCAAAGGGTAATCCCATTGTGATGAAATTTTGGATACTGAATTGTCTCATCAATATCTCGGTCGGGTTCGAAGATTAGAATAATTCATCAAGAAATTGCTGAGTTGTAGCAAACAATGTCATTATTTCCAGTTCTTTTTCTATGAGAACATTGACCTATCTCGGTTTTCGTAAAAAACGTTTTGTCTCATAATCAAAAGGAAATGTCAACTATTATATACCATTCGTTAGAGAATTTTACGGACTACAAGATGGTATAAAACACAGTAAAAACAAGAAGGATAAATCATATATTATAAAGATACTTCAGCTGAAAGTGATGTCTAACACTTTATGAGTCGATGAAGTGCGAAAACAGTACCCGCATATGTAGGCCTCGGTGACCTTTATTAAGTGAGAAACTGAGACATTGATCAGACTAGACAAAATGAGTCATCAAAATGATCCTAGCAAGCCGTTTTTCCTAAAACTCGTTTCCTATTTTAGACAGTTTGATCAAAACCAATCTGTCACCAATTATTTTTAACTTTTTGAAGTACATATAACACTGGGATTTAAATCCGAGATTTTTACATTTCTACATCATTTAGTGATGATTGAAATATTGTTAAAAAGTATGCAGCAATACTAAGTCTGGGCTTGTTGATAATTAGTTTTGCTCTGGGTTTAAGGAGGTATTGGCGTTTTTTAAAAAGTGCGAGACCATACAAAATCCGATGCAAGAATCTTCACATACCTAGATGATACAGTATGAAAAAATTGTTTTTTATTACGAACAATTTTACAGAGGATGCAACACGACACAATTTTAGACAATTGAAAAAACTAATATTTTTAATGGATTACTTGTCTATTCTCATTATTATCATCGCTATTTTCCTTCATTGATAAAATAAACTGAACGGCTGCTACGACTTTTATTTTTGATTTTTTTTATCATACTGTTTTAGAAATATTCGATGCAAAAAAAATCGTATTAATTGCGATTTGCTTTTTCTTTGATAAAGAAATACGCTTTAAACATAAGGTTAACGTTAAAATACGATCTATTGTAAAGTGCACGATAATGACGAATATCATTTCAATCCTTGTTCATTGTTAAATAACTATAAAAGAAAAATATTTGATGAGCATAGCGAATAAAGACAAGACTAATTTCTCTACGTAATGATTATATCGTGTTCTCTCTATTGCTTAATGAGAAATTTCCTGTTCGAAGAATTCAATACTAAAAATCTATAGTATTTTTCATTATTCATCCACAAATGAATCTGATTATTAATGAATTTGAATGTAAAATTATTATTGGTCTTCAAACATCGACAATTCTTAGTAAACCAATCGTGTATCACTGGTGATGATTGATTAAATTCAAATTTTCCAATTGATAATTATTTTAATCCATCAATGAATAAAAATTAATCGTGAAAAGATGTTAATTCGATACTCAAACGTTGAAGTCGAGGTAAGACAGTGCATAATTGATCGATCAACTATTGCTCTTTTATTATTGTTTCGTGCGTATAAATTGCGTATTTTCTTAAAGACAACATGATTTGGTATATGATTCAATACTGACGGATTCGAAATTGAAATTGAATGTAAGAAATGCATGTGTTCAACAAGGCTGATAGATGCCAATTATATCAAATTAGAATTAAAACAAATGAATCAAAATTATTAAATGTCAAATTCTTCGAATACACCTTCTTTTAACAAAGATGTATTAAGTGAGACAGCTCACGAAACCATCAGCGAAACTGGGTGTCAAAAAATTTTTGATTTCAAAACTGACTACCCAGTTTGAAAGACTGCAAAAAGTTGTCTTCAAGACGAAGTTTTTGGACTTTGAGAATGGATCCTCACGTTGCTACTGGCAATCAGAATTTGGGACTCTGAAATTGAGCATTTAGAAAACTGAGTTGTTTGATTGAAAAACAGTTTTATTTTCTTCAGTAATTCAGATCCTAAACTTATGGGAAAATATCACTGCAATATACTAAACGATAGCGCGAATCAACTGTACAAAGTGTGAGAGAAAAATTTTCCATAAGCCATGATCAATGATAATAATTTTAGTAGGAACATCAAAAACATTGATTTTTTAAAGTAGACTTTCAAGTACTTTTGAATACTTCTGGGAATTACTTTCGCCTAACACATCTTGAGATCCTAGATTGAATATTGGATATGTTGTAGAACATTAAACGACACATCTTTTAGTGCTAATTCGTCTTGCGAGTAAACTATTGGCAAGGTATTCAAAAATTTGCCACAAGCTCAGAATTGACAGGTGATTTTAGTGATAATTCTGAGCAAATTTAACTTGATCAACTTAGAAATCAATCGAACCTATGTCATCACTAACTGAATCATTTGTAATGTGTTGGATACTGATCAAGATAGATACCGAAAGGTGGTGTTAGATGCTAACACTCAGATAGAACATCATATTATATTACATTACATATTTATGGAAATCGTCATAAATGATTTGTTAGATGGCACTAATTGTAACGGGACAAAATGAGTTTGGGACAAATATGAATCTATGATTAAATAAAAGGAACGAAGTGAATGTAAACTGGTATAACGCAGAGTTGGAACCGGTCAGTTTTCATCGGCTTTTATCGGTCTAAAGAAATTAAAACAGTCCTGTGATCTCCCTCCGGATTACGCCAAAAAACGAGTTATACAATTTTCTGAATATACAAATTTTTCGAGATAAAATATGTCGCGAGCAAGTCTAAGTTGTTTTATCAAAATAATTGTATTATTTCAAAATCTATCAGTTATTTTTTCTCCAATTTGTCTAAACTTTTTTAATTTTTTTTAATCGAAGTTTATTTCATTTAGTAGAAAATATAATCAAAACAGCGCTACTTAATATACAAGTCTCTTCTTACTGCATTAATGCTTTGTTATAGACCAGATTTACGATCAAACCATGCGTTAGAGGTAGATAGTAGTTTTTTCTGAAAAGTCTTAGTCAAAAGATGCAAGACTTATAGGTTTGTAATCCAGTGTCGGGTAAATGAATTTTATCCGGAGCGAACTATCACATATTCATCTTTATGAAAAATTACAGATATAAACGACAATAGCACTATGTCTTCTTTAAGATGTTAATGAAATCAAAGCAGAAGACAAAAATGAATGTTTTATGAAGTCTATCATTTTAATCAGCAGTAAGTGATCTAGAATATGCCTCAATTTTCGTCGGTTTTTTACCGGTCTAAAAAATTTTTTGAACCAGCCGGACTGGTTTAAAAATTCTGAATTTGTTTCAAATCTGGTATAACGGGACGAAATGAGTATCCATCTAATAAGGTTTCTAAGATGATGAAAATCACACATGCAAATAAAGAAGTATGTTACTTGATATCGATGATAGCTGTCAACAATTGCATTGATATGTATACAAGCATTGCATATTGAATACACAATAGTTGATTTATCAAGGACTCGGTAGATAAGTTCTACCGGTAATGTTAGAAATGATAGAATAGTTTTGTTACACATCGATCAAAGTTGATGTTAATGTTGAAATGTGTATTCATTACACAGCATGTGTAGTTGTAATTTTTTTTTCTGTTTGAATGACATGAATGAATTGAATACGTTCCTGATGATTGTGCAATTACTTATTTGAAAAAAGAACAAATGTCAATAGAAAATGACAATTTTTACTTTTTCTCAATATCATAATATAATGGGTGAGCCATAAATAATAATACTATTGACATTTTAACGATATCTCTTCAGTTAGTCATTATTTAGCCTCGAATTTTTTACCAGAAGATGTTATCTGAAAGGCTCTACAAAATGGCATATTCCATGATTTAAATGAAATTAATTCAACTTTTTAATGATAATACTACTGATGGAAACAACCATGATATAATTGCAAAGTTTGTAATCATTTTTTAAATGTTTTCAAATTCTTTTCAATCTAGGGGTGTCGTATTAGCATTAATTTCAAAAATAATGCTAATACTTTAGTATTAACATTAATGATTAATACTAATGCTTTGGCATTGCAATAATCATTAATACTAATGCTTTGGCATTAATGGCACTAGTGTTAATTAATGCATAGGTGTGGCATTAAATTAGCATTATTTTTAATGCTAATACATATACTTAGTGTCACTTCTACATTACTAACTTGACATACTATCTTTAACTTTTTAAGAGCTATCCGGTGGTAGTCTTTGTAACTTTTCACGATCTCTCTAGGGGTACTCTAGGTAACTTAGCAAGTACTACCTGGGGTACCAAGGCTAACTCCTCAAGGACCGCCAAGGGATACTTTGGATAACTTCTCAAGCGCTACCTATGGGTATCATTGCTGACTTCTCAAGGACTGCTTAGGGGTACCCTGGGTAGCTTCTGAATGACTATGCAGGAATAGTATCACTAACTTCGCCTGGACTATCTACGGTTACCCTGGTGAACTTTTCAAGTGCTATTCAGGTGTACTCTCGGTAACTTCTCAAAGGCTACCAGCGGGTACCCTAAGTGAGTTTTTTCATTGGTTACCTACAGACCCTTTTTGTAGCCATTAAGAGTGTCTCTGCATGGTATCGAGTATTAATTCAGAGTTAAGATAATGGCATATGAGTGTATGTCGTTGGTAGCTTAAGAAGCTATTAATGATCCTGTTGTCAATCCTGAGTTTTTAACTGAATGATCGCTCATACGAAACACGTAGAACTACGAATATGGTTTCTGAAGACTCTTGTTAGTTTGTAACTGATAAATGTTTGATACAACTCAGCTTCATCCATCAGCTAGCTGCCGTGACAAGACAAACTACATTTAGTCGTTGAAATTCTCTAAGCACTAGTGAAATGTATCAAACGTCATAAAAATAATTATATGAGTTTTTCTCTGGATCCAAAAAGTATGTTGAGATTTCCTTGTAACACGAAGAGCGGAACGTTTTCCCTTTTATGGAGCCCTTCTCTATCCTAGGTCGAAGTTGTAACGAAATTGTGGCAGAAAGACACTAGGCTCGCTCAGGTCGAAGTTATAGGCTTAAATCTCATGAGAACGTTAAAGTATCGAAGAATGTTGCGCAATATACTTGCAGTAAGATTCGGCTGTCGGATGATATCGTTATTATTTACTTGTCAGCAGTTTTCGAGTATCAGATATCATCAGAGTCTTTTTTCGTAATCTGATGGCATCTATGAATGGAACCTTGTGAAATGCAACGAAATCTCTTGTATATAAGTATATGACATTGTCTTTCGTGGTTATTAAAAGGCATATGAAACAAATTGTTAATACTTTTTTGAGACAGTGTGGAGCTGTTTTTCATGAATAAGAGTAGGCAAGTACGCATCTTCTCAAAAGAGATATTTTTCAAATCAACATTCAATTATTCACATAAATTTTCAAGGCTATTTAGACTTTTCAGAGATGTTTGATTTTTCTACACTTATGTTTGAAAATGATACTTGTCACCGGAATCTGCAGACGTTTAGTCTACGAAATATGATCATAATATATGCTGAAATATTGACTTAATAGTTCTCAATACACTTCAAGTAATTAACAATACTGTACAACATCAACTAATGCATCACATGTATGAGCTACTACTTTAAATACTTGACATGAACAGATACTGATCGCTTGTTTGAGAAAATCTCAATCTAAATCAATCAGTACTGAATATCGTAAACTAGTACAGCTGAATATTTACGCGGATACCCATGAAGATACCTTCTTTCTTCAAATTACCTTCATTTATTCATCTTCCATTTCCTGCTCCAAAGAAATAAATAACATAAAAATATTTGTCTGGATTATAATAATAATGGGAATTTATTTGCTACTACTCTTAATCATGAAACAATGCTTCATTTTGAGTAGCTGTTCATCGACATATTTCAAGACCTGTATTTTTAAATAAACGGTGAATATTAGTTTAATAAGCCGTAAAAGAATTACATAGATATGGAAGGTTTAAATAGCTATGAAAGGCAAGTCGCTACGAAAAATCCAAATAGCTATGAACGATTTAAATAGTTATTAAAAACCGCCTAGCTATGAAAAATTCAAATTACTGTCAAGCTCTTGGTAGTAACAAATTTTTAAATCTCTTTTATATTAAGGAATTATATTTCTTTTGAGAATAACATGGTACGTGACTCTCTTAAACGACTCTGAAGAACGAGAAAAGGACCTACACGACTAAGTGAAAAATAGGAAACAGAAATTTACAATCATAAAAACATCTACCAAGGAAGATTAGATAAGACACGCAGGTACTTGTTAGTTCCTTTTCTCTAACTTCTTTTGTTGATTTTAGCATCCTCTAAATATTTCGTATTTCTCTAGATGTATCTTGATACAATCATAACATAAGAACATATTCCCATTGATAGTTCAAAACTAGAATCAACTTTGCCTGAGTGTGATGAAACTTGAGTCGGGTGTAGTGTTGTAGTACTTCCATCCCACACACACCCATGCTTCGCTGCATAATTCAGAAAGTATGAGTATTTTAAATTAAAACACAAATCAAGTGCTTTAAATCACATCCACGAAATTTTTTTAACTTCCCAGTCAGCGAACACTTTATTCTAAAGACGGCAGTTCATTATGAAATACTAGCGAGAGTCCGTGTATACTGCACGGCTGCTTTCTCCTTTAACGAATGACTTCAGACGTTTAACTTTTCATACGATGACAGACAGACAGATACGCGATATTATGTATATAGATCGAAGCCTTACAGCCTCATACTCTTCTATCACACATGTTTTATAGTCAAGATAGCCTTATATTCCTTGTACCACTTGTAGCCTTATACCTTTATTGTCTTACACCCTTCAGGACCTATGGGTACCATATAGAACAGCCCTTGAGGATTCATGGGTGCCCCCATATAATAGTCCTTAAGAGCCTATGGGTAACTCTATATAATATTCCTTAAGGAACTATGAGTACCTCCATATAATAGCCCTTGAGGATCTATGGGTACCTCCATAGCATAGCCCTTGAGGACCTATGGGTACCCCCATATAATAGCCCTTGGCACCTTCCCCTTATAGTCTTATATGACCATTAACCTTTGACCCGGTGCAGGCAGACACACAGACACTGAACATTATATATAGACTATGTACTTTACCTGAGTGGTTCTGTAAATGGAACAATGCTATAATATTTGTGTAGTAGGTGAAAAATCGTAAAAACAATCTCCAATAGTTCTTGAAAAGCTACTAAGGGTACCTATAGACAGCTTTTGAAAAGTTAATAAAGGTATCTACGATAGCCCTTGTAAAGTTGCCAAGCGCGTCCCCAGATATGCCTTGAAAAGTTATCAAGAACATACCCAGTTAGCTCTAAAATAGCTACCGAGAATAGCCCTATGTAGCTGTTCAAAAGTTGCCAACGGTACCTTCTGATAGCCCTTGAAAAGTTACTAGGAGTATCCCTAAATAGACTTGGGAAAGTCAATAAGGGTACTTCTAAGTAGAGCTTGAAAAGTTGCCAAGAGTGTCTTCAGATAGCCTTTGAGAGTTCACCAAGAGTACCCGTAAATAACCCTTGAAAAGTTACATAGGGTACCCGTAGCTAGCTCTTGAGAAGTTTCCGAGAGTATCCCCAGATAGCCCTGGAGAGTTAACCAAGAGTAACCTTAGGTAGTCCTTGAAAAGCTACCGAGACTAGCCTGACATAGCCCTTAAAAAGTTTCGAAGAGTACCCCAAAATAGCTCTTGAAAGATTACCTAGAGCGCTTCTAGGTAGCCATTGGAAACTTACCAATGACATCCCTATGTAATCTTTGAAAAGTTCCCGAGAGTCCCTTTGGATAGCTCTTAAAAAGTTAAAGGTAGTATGTTAAGATAGCAATCTAGCACTGACACTAAGTATATGCATTAGCATTAAAAATAATGCTAAATTAATGCCACACCTATGCATTAACCCTTTCAGTCCCAAATTATTCCTGCTGGTTCCAATTGAAATAGACTGTTAGATTTGCTCATTTTACACAGAAACACATGAACGACTATATATCTCCTTTACAGACAGTTGGAGCGGATTCTAGAACACTCTTTATTACTTCGCTCCAAGAGAATACATACTAATTTATATAAATTATGTTATGTAAAGTAATTATAAATAGATGTAGCTTTTTTGATACTATGGGACCCAAAGGGTTAATTAACACTGATGCCATTAATGCCAAAGCATTAGTATTAACGATTAATGCTAATACGTAAGCATTAGCATTAATGATTAATGCTAATACGTAAGCATTAGCATTAATGATTAATGCTAATACGTAAGCATTAGCATTAATCATTAATGCTAATGCTAAAGTATTAGTATTGGCATTAATTAATGCTAATGGTAATGCGACACCCCTATTCTGCGACAAAAATTTCATCGGTATTTGTTGCAAAATTTCCAGATCCATATTCAGTTTGAGCCTAATAGAGAAGATGTTTAGGAATGTTCAATAAATTCATGATTTAATTTGATAAAATAAACCTTTTAGTTGGTAGATACAACAGAGAATGAAAGAGAATATTTCTTCGATAGTATATTTCTTTTTAATTCCTTTACATCAATTGCAAAGAAATGATTAATAGACCAGCAAGTGATGCATCAATGCACTTTAATTTTAAATTGTACATACAAGTCATTTTTCAAACACATCATATACCTTATTTTTCATTCCAATACCACTTAAGTTTCAGAAGGTATCGAAACTAATGTGATCTTAATGCTATTGATAAATTTCAGAAAGATTCTTCTAGTCTACTGCTGAAATACACAGTTGATTGAATAACAAATTAATGTAAATCATCCTATGTTTCTATATACCCAAATCGTGAATACCTTAAAAAATCGAATATCTCACTCTAGGCTAACCAACAACAGCTAATATTTTAATCTTATTACTTTGGTGGTGAGAGCTTTCATTTGACCCGAATGTGTGCCATTTTTCTCGCGGACAATACAAACACCTCCATTGTTAGAATCTAAATGTCAGGAGATAGTAGTCATTGTTTTATATTTACAATTTTGTTTTTCTAGTAGAAATTTTTATATCTTGATAATTATAAAATTCTTTTTTTGAAAAGATCTATAAATCGATTAAAATTCCATCAAAATACGAGAATGCACAGAAATTTTTGTCACATTCATTGAATCAAATGTAGAAGAAAAATACTGTTTACGATGATCACTAAAACAGTCATTCTCTTTGGCGTTATATCGAAAGCTCTTTTACAGTAAGAGCAATCATAGACAGTTTCATGTCAAAATCTACTTGTGTGATCAACAGCATACATTCGCTACTTGCTAATAGTTGAAAAATACGACTTTCTGTTGTTTGGTGTGCCAAATGAGATTCACATTTTTGATGGTAGATTTCTCTTTCTGTTAGAATTTTTTTAAAATAACGTCTATTTTAATCGTGACTATCAATAGCAAAAAAAACAAGATAAATTCAATTAGGAGCAATTAAATTTCAGATTATGATAATAGAGAAAACTACTTTATTGATTTTGATAGTATTATTATTTTATATTAATGTTTTTACCAAACTATCTTCAATATCATATGTAAAACTGCATCACAATATCATTTCGCGTTCGCAAGTTATGCAAAAATAAATAATCACCGTTTATTGAAGACGGTAGTAGTTAGAGGATTAATAATAATATATTAAAAAAGGAAAGAGTAAAGATATTTTTACTTTTATATTTAACTACTATGTTTAGATTAAATTATTATTAATATGAATACATCATTCAATGGGTAATACACTTGTTTTATTGTTCGTTAACTGCGGATTTTCTCTTTGATTTTTTTATATGTCACTGCATGAATACTTTTCAAATCTTAGAAAATTATTAGATTTGAGCTAATATCTCAGCTTCTTACCACTGTTAGCGCACTCAGGCTGTCTGTAACAGTCACCACATCAACTGTGTTGATTTCGTTGTCGAGTTTGATTATTTATTAACGATGGTGCCACAAAATATTCATTAGTTATAAGATTCAACCAATAGAGAAAATTGTGACGCCACCTGGATAAATCGTTCTGTGGCCATTGACTACATGAGTATAGTATTCTTGAGTTATCAAAATTTAACATACAGTCATTTATGCAGATACTGAGTCATCAATGATGATTTTATTTTCACGTCAGCTATGTTATGCATGATATTCTATTAATTGTACAAATCAGAGGCTGTTTATAGTGAAGACTTTTCACGCACTATATTGATGATGAGTCGAAAGTTAATAAAAATAATGGTGGAGTAAGCAATATCAAAAAAAAAAAATAAATAACTTCAAATATTTGATGTGTCATATTGTCATTATATAATACTGAGAAGAATTTAAACGGAAAAATTTTTGATCGACTAAAGCAGATTGAAATGAAAATCGATTTGCATAGAAACAATAGTTTTTAGGTTAATAGAGTGGTTTTTTTTCTCAATAATTGAAATATATATTGCTTAAAATAGGTTTAAAACGACTATTATACTCATATGAAACGAGAAATAGTACACGATTAAGTAAAGTCAAATATTTACTTATGTCTTTAGTTATTATTAAGATTTAGAATTGTCTAAAAATCGTAACATAGGTTAAATAAGTGTATTTATATCTATCAGACATATCCAATAAGAATAAATCATGCGTATTTTTCTGCAATGAATAATAATGTTCTGATTGCTTATTGACAAACATATTTGTTTATTTATTCAACATAAGAAATATTTTGTTTTAATGTTGAATAAAACTGTTGACTATTTGTTTGATTTTAGAACGATTTTTTTTTCTTTTTAAATATGGCTCAAGTAATATATATTCTGATTTCTGTTGGTGTTGGCTTAGCATTAATCACCATCTTATCACTTTTTATTTCTTGTGTCAGTCGACTTGATACAGATGAAAGTTAATATTTAAAATTTTTATTTAAAAAAATTTCTTTCGGTTTCTTTTTCAAGTTGCTATTCCATATAATACACTTACCAAGCATCTTCGTCGAGAAGTGAAAACAGCTGGTTTACATTTTGGTTCACCAGGTTTTACACTCATTATTTTTCCAAGTGTCTTTACTTCAATGGAGTTTGATGATATATCAGTTTGTTATTCAATTTTATTATTATTGATTAATAGGTTTTAATTTAGTGTCTTAACCAAGATGGTGTTTCAATTAGTCTGGATGTAACATTTCAATTTCGAGCTGATCCAAACTATTTATATGATATTGTTGTGCAATTCAAAGACTTCTCTGGATATAAGAAGATTCTTGCTGCAACAGGACAAGGAGTTGTTCATGATACATGTGCGCAGTGAGTATAAATCATCGAGGAAAACCGTTGACATATCTACCAATAGATCTTATGCACATGGAGATCAACGCAGGAATTTACAGCTATTCGAAAAAAATTTTTTTTTTTGTACTTTATAGTTTTGCATAAGATATCGAAAGTTGAAAATGACATTTATATTATTGTTATGTTTAATCTGAATTCGATATTAGAATTCTCTTATTTTATTCATTTGAATTAACTTGAATCAATAATCGATTCTATTGTCTTTTTAGCTTTAATACAACCGCCTTTCAAAGTATGAGAGGTTATTTTCAAATTAAATTACTAAAAGTAAGACACATTTGTTTATTTCTAAAAAAAATATACCATAAACTTGTCAAAATTTGATTAGGAAATGACAGAGTCATTAAGTCCATTCTATGCTATTCTTCGAGATTTACAAGTAAACGTTTCTTGTTTGATGAAATTTAAGTTAAGTTAATGGTTCTTAAATAGGTCAATGATGTTCGTCGACCATCAGATTTTGAAACAGCTGTCAAAGATAAAGAAGCAGCCAAAGAAAATATCAAAGTTAGTTTTAATATATTGAGTTTCGTGGTTTTTTTTATTTATTAATGAACATGACATTTATATTAGATTGCTGAAAATGAACGACCGAAATTCTTAACACAAGCTCGTACGGAATATCAAAAAGCATTAAAACAATCTCAAATTATTCAAGAACGTGCTGATACTGACAGTAGAATCATTCAAAATCAGTAAGAATTTTTTCTTGTTCAACAAAATTGATATTAGTTTCTAACAGAGCTGATGCTGAAGCACAAGCTGTTCGAGCACGATATTCTACTGAAACAGGTTATATCACTAAATGCTTCATGGTTTTTTTTGTTTTTCTATGGTATTGATAATATTTTTAGAAACTTATGCAGAATTGAAAAATAAAATGCGATTTGATGTTGAATCTTTATTAACATATATGGTGAGATTGAATTAACTTTTTTGCTATTTGGAAACTACTTATAATCTATTTAGGCTGTTCGTGTTATTGGTACATCGAAAAATGATATTTATATCAATTTAAAGTCACCAGCACAAGTCAAATATGAATTATAATAGAACGTTATGTTTTTTTTAACTAACAGCGATTATATTCTTATTTTATATATCATATGTATTTCTCACATATTTTAGTATGATTTTTACCCGTTTTTCCCTGCATTTAACATTGATTGGATTCTCAATAAGTTGTAGAATGTGCAGAAAATTGCTTACTAAAAATAATATCAATAAATATCAGCTTGTGCTTAATCAAATGCGTCAATCCTGCTCTATTTGAAAGAAAAATGATCTACCCTTTTTTTGTTTGTTTATCTTAGATCAATTATATATATATATACTCTTTAGAGATTAAAATTCAAGTTATTATCTTACGAAGAAATCCATTCAGCTGATAGTCTCCGTTTCAGTTCATATTTTACTCATAGGTAGGGTTCATAGTATTAATAAAAAATCTAAAAGGAGTCATGACTTTTCCTCTTTGTTTCGGAGAAACAAATGTAACAACTTTCTGTAGAAATGGTCTTGTAGTTTTTCGCGTAATTTTTGTTCTTTTCATACCTGAAAAAAGGAAGATATCCGTGAGCTGAAATTTTGTTTACAAAAGCATCTAATATATGATTAATTGGTGTAGAAATATCAATCATATCTACATCGTCGAACGTGGAATACAGGATTTCTTGTCTATGTGATTTTATGCATAGTTAGAACAAATAGTAACCAAAAGTGAAAATAGTTAGCTATTGGTTTTTTTTTATTGAATCTCAAATGATTCGAAACACCATAAATTCATTTCTAGAAAAACTTGTTTCGTGTATTTCTTCGAACTAAAGTGGCAATGGCACGAATTCTTTTAGGATGTTTATCTAAAATCTGAGTCCTAGCTATGAGTAAAATATGAGCTGAAATGAAGGCATCAGTTAGATGGATTTCCTCGTTAATAGCAGAATTCGAGCTTTGAGTAATAATCATTCGTGATTTCTGATATGAAGAAGGAATGAAAATTCTAGAACAGTATACCATTACTTGGTCAATGAGTATTTTCATGACCTAAATATATCGA